CACCGATCTATAAATATATATATATATATATATATATATATCAGAAAAAAAAAAAATACAATCCAAACAACACTAAAGGCAGTCATCAAATCAAAAGAGAAAAGAACAAAAGAGGAAGGGAAGAAAAAACACCTACAAAAACACATCCTAAACAATGAACAAAATGACAAGCAGAAATACATATCGATAATTACCTTAAGCAGTTCTAAGAGGGAAGTTTATAGCAATACAATCTTACCTTGCGAAACAGGAAAAATCTCAAATAAACAACCTAACCTTATAACTAAAGAAACTAGAGAAAGAAGAACAAACCCCAAAGTTAGTAGAAGGAAAGAAATCATAAAGATCACAAAAGAAATAAATGAAATAGAGATGAAGAAAACAGTAGAAAAGATCAATGAAACGAAAAGCTGGTTCTTTGAAAAGATAAACAAAATTGATAAACCTTTAGCGAGACTCATTAAGAAAAAAAGGAAAGGGCTCAAATCAATAAAATTAGAAATGAAAAAGGAGAAGTTACAACTGACATCATAGATATATAAAAGATCACAAGAGACTGCTATAAGCAGTTATATGCCAAGAAAATGGACAATCTAAAACAAATAAACAAATTCTTAGAAAGGTATAACTTCTAAGACTGAACCAGGAAGAAGCAAAAAATATGAACAGACTAATCACAAGTACTGAAATTGAAACTGTGATTTAAAAACTTGCAACAAACAAAAGCCCGGGCCAGATGGCATGGCAGGTGAATTCTATCAAACATTTAGAGACCAGTTAACGCCTATACATCTGAAACTATTCCAAAAAATTGCAAAGGAAGTGACACTCCCAGACTCATGCTATGAGGCCACCATCACCCTGATACCAAAATCAGACAAAAAAAGAAAATTACAAGTCAGAATCACTGATGAACATAGATGCAGAAATCCTCAACAAAATACTAGCAAATCGAATTTAACAATACATTAAAAGGATCATACACCATGATCAAGTGGGATTTATCCCAGGGATGCCGGGATTATTCAGTATCCGCAAATCAATCAGTGTGATACACCACATTAACAAACTGAAGAGTAAAAACCATATGATCATCTCAATAGATGCAGAAAAAGCTTTTGACAAAATCCAGCACCACCCATTTATGATAAAAACTCTCTAGAAAGTGGGCATGGAGGGAACATACCTCAACATAATAAAGGCCTTACATGACAAACACACAGCTAACATCATACTCAGTGGTGAAAAGCTGAAAGCATTTCCTCCAAGATCAGGAACAAGACAAGAATGTCCACTCTCGCCACTTTTATTCAACATAGTTTTGGAAGTCCTAGCCATAGGAATCAGAGAAGCAGAAGAAATGAAAGGAATCCAAATTGGAAAAGAAGAAGTAAAACTGTCACTTTTTGCAGATGACATGATACTATACATAGAAAATCCTAAAGATGCTACCAGAAAACTACTAGAGCTTATCAAGGAACTCAGTAAGGTTGTAGGATAAAAAATTAATACACAGAAATATCTTGCATTTCTATACACTAACAATGAAAATCTGAAAGAGAAATTAAGGAAACAATCCCATTTACCATCACATCAAAAAGAATAAAATACCTAGGAAAAAAACCTACCTAAGGAGGCAAAAGACCTGTACTCTGAAAACTGTAAGACACTGATGAAGGAAATCAAAGATGACACAAACACATGGAAAGATAGACAATGTTCTTGGATTGAAAGAATCAATAGTGTCAAAATGAATATACTACCCAAGGCAATCTACAGATTCAATGCAATCCCTATCAAATTACCAATGGCATTCTTCACAGAACTAGAACAAAAAATTGCAGAACTTGTATGGAAACACAAAAGACTCTAAATAGCCAAAGCAATCCTGAAAGGAAAGATGGAGCTGGAGGAATCAGGCTCCCTTACTTCAAACTATACTACCAAGCTACAGTAATCAAAACAGAATGGTACGGGCACAAAGACAGAAATATAGCTCAATGGAACAGGATAGAAAGCTCAGAAATAAACTTACACACGTATGGTCAATTAATCTATGACAGAAGCAAGAATATTCAATGGAGAAAAGACAGTCTCTTCAATAAGTGGTGCTGGGAAAACTGGACAGCTACATGTAAAAGAATGAAATTAGAACATTCTCTAACACCATACACAAAAATAAACTCAAAATGGATTAAAGACCTAAATGTATGACCAGATACTATAAAACTCTTAGAGGAAAACATAGGCAGAACACTCTGACATAAATTGCAGCAATATCTTTTTGGATCCACCTCCTAGAGTAATGAAAATAAAATAAAAAATAAACAAATGTGACCTTAAAATAAAATGGGACCTAAAAATAAACTTAAAAGCTTTTGCAGTGCAAAGAGAAACCATAAACCAAACAAAAACACAACCCACAGAATGGAAAAAAACATTTGCAAATGAAGCGACCGACAAGGGACTAATCTCTAAAACAGACAAACAGCTCATGCAGCTCTATATCAAAAAAAATAAACAACCCAATCAAAAAGTGGGCAGAAGATCTAAACAGACATTTCTCCAAAGAAGACATACAGATGGCCAAAAGGCACAAGAGAAAATGTTCCACATCGCTAATTATTAGAGAAATGTAAGTCAAAACTACAGTGAGGTATCATCTCACACCAGTCAGGATGGCCATCATCAAAAAGTCTACAAACAATAAATGCTGGAGTGGGTGTGGAGAAAAGGGAACCCTCCTACACTGTTGGTGGGAATGTAAATTGGTACAACCACTATGGAGAAAGGTAAGGAGGCTCCTTAAAAGAGTAATAATAGAGCTACCACATGATCCAGCAATCGCACTCCTGGGCATATACGGAGAAAAACCATAATTTGAAAAGACACGTGCACCCCAATGTTCAATGCAGCATTATTTACAATAGCCAAGACATGGAATCAACCTAAATGTCCAACGACAGATGAATGGATAAAGAAGTTGTGGTATATATACACAATGGAATATTACTCAGCAATAAAAAGGAATGATATAATGCCATTTGCAGCAACATGGATGGACCCAGAGATTATCATACTAAGTGAAATAAGTCAGACACAGAAAGACAGATATCATATATCACTTATATGTGAAATGTAAAAAGATGATACAAATGAACTTATTTACAAAACAAAACAGACTCACAGACTTCGAAAACAAACTTATGGTTACCAAAGGGGAAAGGTGGGAGGGATAAATTAGGAGTTTGGGATTAACATATATACACTACTATATATAAAATAGATAGTCAACAAGGACCTACTGCATAGTACAGGGAACTATGCTCAATACTCTGTAATAACCTAAATGGGAAAAGAATTTGAAAAAGCATAGGTACATGTATATGTATGACTGAATCACTTTTCTGTACACCTGAAACTAACACAACATTGTAAAGCAACTACACTCCAATATAAAATAAAAACTGAATTTAAAAAATGGCTTTTCATATCAGCAGAAGAAATACTGGCTTATTCAAAAAATGGATATTGATACTCTTTTTCAATACTATATTTGTTGATTCTCTATCAATATCTATGTAATTACACTGTTGGGGAGGAAGGAAGTTTAGATTCTTATTTCTTAGACTAGAATTCCAGATAGCCCAAAAAGGTAAATGTAAAAATTAAACCAGAGAAACACTAGTAAAGCTGACAGACATCTAATCATAAACTTAAAAAAAGTGTTTCAACCATAGCAGTAGGCATTGGCATAGTAGGGTCAAATATTAAGAAAATATTTAAAAGAAGATAGTCTAAGGAACATGCTCTGCAAACTGTAAATTCTTATACAAAGTTAGATCTTATGCTTGGATTACCTTAACTTATATTCTACAATACAATGTTTTTACTAAGGTCTCTGCTAAAAACCTGCCACATAGAGGAACTTCTTTTTGTATTGTAAAATTATAGTTGAAGATACTATATAGCTTAATTCTCCAAAGAACAGGTTCCATACGATGAATTCCTTTTAGAATTTAGTAGCAGGGAAGAGTCCAAATCTTTGGAACCTCTTAGATAATACAAAATATACTAAAGTTTTCAGTTTTGTATTAGTGGATAGGAAGCTCAGATATAAATTTAATGTCTTAATAATTAGCAAATTTGCTTCCTCTTCCCTCCAATATCTTAATTTTCTGTTCCAGATTTTTATTGTACACATATATAAAATGATATAATGATTCAAATCCATTTTGGAAGCAGATATAACAATAAAATAAAATTCAAGATCCCTTGTAGCAACAAGGGTTCTGAGCTTATATTTTCCTTATTGTTTGAAAAGGGAACACTAATATATTAGGGAACTAATACTATACCGGGCCTAGAAGGGGGCAAGTGGAAACAGAGAGCTATATGCAAGTTATGAAGGCAAAGCGTAGAAACAAGTAAACTTTGGTGACCAGGGTCTTACTCCTACCACAATTACTATAACATAAACACCCAAACTGCAGCTAGAAAAAAAATGGAGATTTAAGTTTCCTTACTTTCAAAAAGACTGTGCCTCTCTAGAAGCGCCTTCCTGCTGAGAAGTGAGCAGCAGTTCAGAAGAACTTGCCTGCTGCTTTGGCTTACTACATCTCCTCACTCCACTACTGGTTTGGCTACATCTTAGACATCTATAGTCTGGCTACACATAAGAAAACTTCAACAAGAAGACGCTGTAAAGGACTAAATTGGAATCATCACAACTGTCAAAAAGAAGAAAACTCCAGTTACACATATCTAAACAGTTACTTTTTCCCCTGAATAATAAAAAATATAAATTCTGTTATATAGACACAGGCTTATGTACATAATACTCTAAATCATAAACTACACTTCTCCCCTAGAACCATAACAAAAAACATTATGTTTTTAGAATTTTACAGCTAGTTCCCTTGTCAATTAAAATGAAAAATTTCACTTAACATTTATTAATAATTTATTTTAAAGGGCCATTACATACTCATAGATTTTACCTCTTTCAATATCATCCATCGGAGATGCTGGGGACATCTTGTCTTCCGATGGAGAATGTTTTACAAGATTGGGAGTCCTAGTTGAATTCCGCATTTGTTGCTGCTGCTGCTCTATACGATACTGAATTTTACTGCTTCCTTCAACTCTGCAATTAAGAACATCAAAAGGTCAAAACAGGTATGATGATTGCAATATAACAACAATTTCAACTTACAAAGCTACTAAAATTGACCACTTATTCTTTTTCCTAGAGATCTTTAAAACGATATTCAAGGATTAAAGCATTAATTTAATTCATTATTTAACAAACCTTTATTGAGCCCTGCTATAGGCATGGCATACACACAGATCCACTGAGGGATACAAATGTGAATTTAAAAAAAGCCACTGCTCAAAACTGAAGAGATAAGACATACACAAATGACTAAAATAAAATGAAATTATACATGAGTATAGCAGACACATTATATTCCCTAAATTCTGAAATTACCATTTCTGTTAAAATTAAATCACTCCCACATTTCTCATTCATAAGGTTAAGACGTTATTAAAGGAGGTTCATATACTTTCCCTTCAATACTTAAAAAAATAAAGTATATAACACAACTATGCTTGACTTTGCCTCTCCCATTTCCAGTCACCAAATCCTGTTAGTCCTTCCTTCACAAAGTATTTAGAACTTCACTTTTCTCTTCATTCCTACTCTAAAACATCGTGGTTTGTGCATTTTTCTCTTTCCCACATTGTTTCATTTAAATCAATTTGTTTGGTGGATTTACATTTCAAAACAAGAATGTAAGCATGTCGATCCCTGGTTAAAAAAACTTTAATATGCAACCACCGTCAATAAGGCAATGTCCTAATTTCATAGTTAATATTGAAGGCAACCTACCTTTATAACCTTACCTCTAGTCTACTTTCAACCTCATACCCCACTTTCTATACTTGTATGCAGGGAAAGAAACAAATCTCTGCTCTATTCAAGCAAGTCTTATTCATAGGTTCCAAATAAGTCAGATATATTCCTGTCTTGTTTACATCCTCATGTTCTCTCTGATCAATTAAATCAGTATTTTCCAAACTTTCCTACAAATAAAAAATCACCTGGGAAGAGGGGATAATTAAAAAACAAAAAAAAGTTTCCTGGGCTCCCTCCCTGATCTGTAGTTGAATTTGGGAACTCATTTGTTTAACAAGCACCCAAAGGCAATCCTTATCATGAAATATGTTTGGGGGGAAAAAAAGCCCTAAATCTTAACCTCCTCTTAAGGTACATCAGTAAGGGCTCCCTGAATGCTCCGATGAACCATGTCTTCCTTCCTTTAATTCCTAGAACAATTTTTATCTATACTATTTGTATGGCTTGTTAATGCACTGCCTATTTCCCCCCAAAAAACATGTTAATTAATGCACTGCCTATTTCCCCCCAAAAAACAATTTGAGATGGCTATGTTCTCTTATTGACATTTTAAATAGAATTATCTGCTAATCCAATTAAAATGTGGAAGTTCTGAGGTTAGTATTTGTATAGGAAGTTCTCCTTTTTCTTGCCTCACATTTTCTAAGTGCTTGATAAAATTTTACTACTGATAATGAAATTATTTTGGAGAATGTGTAATGGCTCCTTTTAGTCCAGTTCTACAAAAGTATCTACAGTAGAATAAAAGATGTACCTACATATAAGAAAACATATAGAAACAAAACAAGCTTTTAAATATCATAGGGAGAAATGGTAAAAGCTTCTGGCTAAAGGATCTTCACCAAATTTAAACTTGGAAAAAGATCAAAACATTTTTGTAGGGCTTCCCTGGTGGCGCAGTGGTTGAGAGTCTGCCTGCCGATGCAGGGGACATGGGTTCGTGCCCCGGTCCGGGAAGATCCCACATGCTGCGGAGCAGCTGGGCCCGTGAGCCATGGCCGCTGAGCCTGCGCGTCCAGAGCCTGTGCTCCCCAACGGGAGAAGCCACAACAGTGAGAGGCCCATGTAACACAAAAAGAAAAAAGAAAAAAAAATTTTTGTACCAGACAGAAATAACCCTTATGTAATAGTGTGACTTAATCCAATAACTTTTTTCACTGACATTCTCTTAGCAATTTATGTGTTGATTAAATAATTTATTTCATTAACCACATACCTTGTTTTTTTTACAGTGATGTTGCTGCTGAGTTTTTCTAGTCGACATTCCCCAGTATCATGGTTAATAATCAAGATGCATTCTTTTAAGTAAGGTTTCTTTGAACCTTTGAAAACAGTTACTGGTGTAGTTGAACCCTGTTTAAAAAATTAATTATTATTACTTGAAATTTATCATAGAAATTCAGTTGAGAGGGCCTTTGAGATCTTCTGTCTTTCTCAACCTATTGATATACTGTACTTCAAGTCACCTAACTGCCTAAATTTACTACTCTGGCAATAAGGAGTATAGTAAAAAAGACAGATGAAGAGAGGCTGAGATCTCAAAATTGTTGTCTTGAGGAAAGGGAACAGAGGAAGCAGCTGCCCTGAGCCAGTAAAGATTTGTTTCACAAATCTTTGTAGACGTGGTCTACAATAGGAAATTGGGATTCAATTCTAATACAACCAATATACTTTACAATAAGGGAACAAAAGTCCTGAGTTATATTTCCTACTCTTCCTCTTCTTCCTTCCTAAATTTAATTTTTTAAATCTGGCATTTTATTAACGGGGGGCTTCCCTATGCAGATTAAGGAAAATGAATGTATCAGGGAACATATGTTACATTAAACTCACTGATCAATTTTAGCATCCTTAAAAGTGGGACAACCAGGCATTATGTGCTTCATGATGTGATATAAAAGAAAGTATGCATCACCTATAAAGTGTTCTTGCCTGAAAAAAAACCCACAAAGAATCTAACTGTCACCAAGGCTTTAGAAATAACTACCAGTTTATAGGAAATATGAGGAAGGAGAAACAAGTTACATAATCCCAGACAGAAGTAATTTGAAATCCAGAATGTGGGTATATTCTCTAGGACAATTAACCTGGTTTCTCCAACAAACCAGTGGCATAAAAGTGGGGAGGGACTTTTACAGAATAAAAGAGATAAGAAACATAATATCAGAATACAATCTAGGAATATAAAATAGGTAAACAACAAGGAACTACTGTATAGCACAGGGAACTATACTCAATATCTTATAACAATCTATAATGGAAAAGAATCTGAAAAAGAATATATATGTATAACTGAATCACTTTGCTGTACACTTGAAACTAACAGAACTGTAAATTAACCTCAGTAAAAATAAATAAATAAAAATACAATATAGGGATTTTATATGGATTTCTAGGGAGAAAAACTGAAAAAAGACATTTTTGAAACCATCATGAAAACATGAATATGGACCAAGTATTACAATTAATTCTACTATGTGTGATAATAGCAGGATTACCATGGTACTTAGGTGAAAATTAAAATATCCTTATCAGTTAGAGATGCATACATAGCATTTGTGAATGTCTGCGATTGCTTTAAAATATGCCAGGAAAAAAGTAGGAAGCTCTATTAAAAAAAGATTAGCGTGTTTCCCTGGTGGCGCAGTGGTTGAGAGTCCACCTGCCAATGCAGGGGACATGGGTTCGCGCCCTGGTCCAGGAGGATCCCACATGCCGCGGAGCGGCTGGGCCCATGAGCCATGGCCGCTGAGCCTGCACGTCCGGAGCCTGTGCTCCGCAACGGGAGAGGCCACAATAGTGAGAGGCCCGCGTACCGCAAAAAAAAAAGGTTAGCAAAATGTTGATAATAGTTGAAGCTCAGTAAGTACACAGGAGTTCATTATACTATTCTATTTTCCATAATAGAAGGTTAAAGAATCCTGGTCATTACTAATAACCTACATCTACCTATGCTCCTCTTCTATCCTTTGTCCCTGCCTCCCTCAACCCTGAAGGAATTTTATGTTTCTCATTCTCTTATTTTATCCCACATATATGCACCCCTAAATAATATATTGTTATAATTGCTTGGTTTTGAACTTTATAAAAGTACATTAAATTTTTAAAGCACTGATTATAACAATTTTGCCAAATACAATAGTAATGTTAGATCATGTTAGAAAAAGATGACTTCTAAAAAAGACTAAAGGGCCTATCATTTTTAAAAAAAATATTTATTTATTTAGCTGCACCGGGTCTTAGTTGTGGCATGTGGGATCTTCGTTGCCACATGTGGGATCTTCTTTGCGGCATGCGGGATCTTTTAGTTGAGGCATGCAGGCTGTTAGTTGTGGCATGCGGGATCTAGTTCCCTGACCAGGGATCGAACCCAGGCCCCCTACATTGGTAGCACAGAGTCTTAACCATTGGACCACCAGGGAAGTCCCAGGGGATATCATATTTTAAAAGTTAACAATCATTAGAGGCTTAACACATTACCAGAGGAGTATGAGATAAATTTGGTAATTGAGGATGCCATAAAGAAGGGGTAGGTTAGAGACCTCTGAGAGGCTGGGAGAGAAAATTATGAAACCAAAAGTAAGGAACAAGTTTTTCTAAAACAAAAATGATCTACAGGAAGTCAAGCATGCATAGCACATAGATAAGGACATATCTGGAGTGGCCCTAGAAGAGTGAGATGCAGAGCACTTAGCTGAAGCCCTGTAAGGTAGAGAGCCAGAAGCATGATCATGAAAAAACTAAGTTGGGCCTACTTGGCTGATAAGTATATTTTTCAAACGTCTTGACTAAAAACAAGTGAGTAAGATACCCCAGAATAGCAACCCAAGGGCTCCAAATTACATTTAAGAGAGTCATGTAATATATTCTTCTTAAAAAATACTTGTATTCTTACTTAGAAAACATTTTAAAATACATTATTGTACTCTGAGTTTCTGAAGGAGGAGGACTGGATTAGAAATTTTTTATTGCTCCTAGCACCTGAAGTACCAAGCTCTTCACAGGTACTCAATGAATGTTGAATGTGAACAATATGAACATTTTTACCATAAATAACAAGTTAAGTAAGCCTTTCACAATCCCTGTACCTGCCTTCTATACTTTGAACAAGTTTTTTTAAATTAAACTTTTTTCCTCATTCTTATTTTAAATTTCAATTTCTGCCCTCTTATTTCATATTCCAAGAAAGGGGTATTAAACTATTAAGGTACCAGGAAACTCCGAAGCATATGAACTCTCTTTGCCTCTGAATAACTATGGAACACCTCCTACCACCTCCATGTTTACTGCTATAACCCAACTTCAGAACCCAATCATCAGGTCACCTAGATTACTGTTATCCTCCTCCCTACTCTCCTTCTAGTTTTACTTCCCATCTGCTAACAGGCAAATCTGATCATGCCTGATTATGAATACCAGGAAAGGAAAGTAATCAGTAATGGAATGGAAGAGTACAATAGTACTCCCAAAGTAACATGAGGGAAAACAAAGAAAAAGAAAAGAAAGAAGAGACGCTTGACAAAACTAATAAGGAACAGAAATAAGAAAACAAATTAAAATAACCAATACACATACTATAAGATGATAGAAATAAAAATCAAGTATAAAAACTTTGAACTAAATGTGGATAGAATTCTCCTAATAAAAATAGAAAGTGTCAAAATGGGTTTAAAAATGAAACAGAATATTCTGTTAACAAAAGATATACTTAAAATGTAAGCTAAATAAAAGTAAGAGACACTTAGATTCCATGAACATGCAAACAAAAAGAAAGCAAAGGTGGCAATATTAATATTAAACAAGGTGGTATTTAACCTTAAAGTCACAGAAACAGGGTAAAAAATGTTTATTATACAATGATAAAAATATAATTCATTTAGAAGTATAACTGTAATAGGACGTTAAAATAGGAGTCAAGTCCTAAAATAAGCTGAAGTCCCAAGAACGTGGTAGGCTATTTTCCCATGTAAGCTAAGTAAAGTAAACTCAATGGAAAGAATCAGACTAGGCTCATCTTGGAAGGGACTTTGATCAACAGGGTCATCTAGAGTGGCATAGTAGCCATCAGACATATGGAACTCTCACAAGTCCAGGGTTTGTGGGCAAAAGTTGTTGAGCAACCACTAGAGATGCACTCATTGCATAATAGGAAGTGTAGCTGGAAGTTTCCTGTGGGCTATTTCATCAAAGCCCACAAAAGTACCTCACAAGATAGCACTAAAAATATGCCAAACTGGACAACACCAATAACAAATCATAACAGTCAAGTAAATCTTTTCCTTTCAATATTCAACATTTTAAAATTTTATAGCAGTCAACCATAGAGAATTGTTTACAAAAAAGAGAGATTTGTAAATGCCCAATATTAACCCCCTTAACAGTCTTCATTTTTATTAGTTTCTTCTATTTGATACTACCAAAGAAAATCTAGAGGAATGAGAATTAGAAAATCTACCCTATCGAAGAACCACCAGAACCTGAAGGTACTCTTAAAAGTATAATAATAAAAATTCTATTTTATGGAATGCCTCCAAGCTTCTAGGCATTTTCACCAAGACGATGAAAGCAAGTTGATAAAGAAAATAGGAGAATATAAATG